AGAGAGAGAGAGAGAGAGAGAGAGAGAGAGAGAGAGAGAGAGAGAGAGAGAGAGAGAGAGAGAGAGAGAGGCATTTATGGGCTGCAGATTGTGACGCCAAGAAGAAGCTCCGCTGTCGACTTGTGAAAATGCGAAGTGGATAATACTGGATATATATTTTTAAGTCGTCACCTGACACTGCTGACAGGGTAACTAACAAAACGTCAGTACTGCGGCTGGCAAAGTCGAATCTCTGTGGTTGGCAAGTTGCAGATAATTCAGTTTATCCAACGCCGCAGCACATACTCAGAGAGCTTCAGGATCGCCGCGCATACTCGGGGAACCCTCACACCGGGACTCCTTGGATGAATCTGGCCACAATTATGTCCAGAGCTGGGTAGAAAAAGCCCCAGTGTGAATATGCCCTCAGAGAGCTTTAGAATCTCTAAAAGAAAAATCTGTTAAGTAACATAAGTTGTATTAACAACTTAACCAGATGATCCGTTAAACCTGGCCAAATGACGGCGTCACCTCAGGAGGAGAGCACAAAGAGGCCAAAACTACGTCACTGAAAGAAAAAACACGTGTCCTAGTAAGAAAAAAGAAAAGAAAAGAAAAGAAAAGAAGGGAGAAGGGGTTAAAAAAAAAAAAAGAAAGAAAAAAAACCCCGAATGACAGGAAGTCAGGTAGGAACAACTCCCACTGACATACATTCCTTTTTCCTCTTTCCTAATCAGGAAATAGGGAAGAGGACCAGGAACCCCGGAATGCGATCCTGCACAAAAGACGTGTGCAAAAAAACCACACTTGCAAGCGGACGCCGTCCGGGCGGTTCCGCACGTGCGGCAGACCGCCGGACTGGACCCGCGCGGCGCACGAACGTGCACCTGACGACCAGTTACGCCCCCCCCCCCCCCAAAAAAAAAAAAAAAAACGGCCCTGTCCGGTCAGGTCCGGGTCCGTCCGGTCCAGGGGGAGGGTGCCGCACACGGCAAAGCGGACCGGACTGGATGTTCGTCCGGTCCGTCTGCTTGCAAGTATGAAAAAAACACACGGCATGTTCGCAAAGACGCCGCACACATTTTCCTCCTCAGCGACTTTCCGTTGCTTGATCCACTACCTGCCCCATTCATTTCTTGCATTCATTTCTTGCATTCATTTCTTCTCAAATTAGTGATGGATGGAGTTGAACCATGTCGCTGGTGCTCTCATAGGCGGGGCGGCTACTAGCGCAAGACGATGTTTTTTGAACAGGAAGTGAAGCGCACACGTTATCCTAACGACCATCTCAGATTGGTCGATGCTACCTCGATGCTACCTCGATGCTACCTCGGTAGCCAAAATGACACGTCATCATCTTCCCCGATGACATGTCCTCTCAGCTGAGAGTCGTGTCACTTCACCATACACAGAAGACTATGCGTCCACACCTGAGCGTCAACTCACTGAGTCACACACATACATACAGGTCTTGAACTCATCAGCTTCCGCTGCGACTCGTCTACCTTTACGACATGATTTCCCATCGGTTACCCCGGGAAATTGGGCGCGCAAACTTACTCTCCATTCCCTTGGGTCGATATCGCTGCTTTCCAACCTGAAGATCATCATCATGCGTTCAAAACCTGCATTCCAACCTTTACGAGAGTAGTTGTTTTTCGCCTCCCTTGGGCCGCGGTCAGCATCGCCGCCTTCGGTGTCCAATCCGCTTTCCACGAGAAGATGTGTCTCGTCGATCTCCGTGAAGGATTCCAACTTCCCAGCAACTTTCCCTGAAGATCAAGAGTTCAAAACCTGCATTTCAGCACCAAAAAAAGGTGCTCCTTGTTGCAAAGGGTGTGCAGACTCTGGAGAGACTCTGGAGAGGAGGAGGGGGAGGGGTCATACGTACGTACATATATTTCACTCACTCAAATGCTCACACCAAGAATTCTATTCCATACGTTAACTCGAAAATATATGTTCACACCACAAACTCTTTCCCAAAAACTCCTCGCCGTAAGCATTCGTATCAAGCCTGCAAAGTTAAAGTGCTCACCGCTTCATTGCTGTGAGATCCGGCGACGAGACCACATTTCGGCGATTTCAGCAAAGGGCTCAAACTTCAGAAACTTGCAAACTTTCAGCACCGATGCTCAATGGCCTGATTCCGATTTCCAAACTTTCGATGATGGAAGGGGTGTACAGGGGAGCAAGAGGCACGGGTGCATAACTCACCTAACCGCAAGATTCGCAAGAGGACCACCTCCCCAAAACTTGTCCTGGTTTTAGCGTTTGTATGCCTGCTCGCTGGCCGGGTCAGCGCCATGGTCGTAACTTCTAAGGCTGGTTGATGGATGCATGTCCTCGCATTTCAGCAAGTTGAGACGAGAAATTGTCAATCGGAATCGGATTGCAGATCGGAGCAGATCGGATCAGATCGGATCAAATCGGATTGCAGATCGGATCATATCAGATCGTATTGGATCAGACCGGTGTCAGGACCGGATCGAGATCAGATTGCAGATCGGATCAGATCGGTCGCCTCGATCATCCCCCAGGACGATTCTCATCTCATTGGACTTCTTTTCTTCGCGTCAACAGGTCCGTTCCTCGAATCCTCGATCGCCCAATCAGATTGACAGTGAGGCCCTTCTGGTGGTTTCCTGAACGGAACCCACAATGCCTGCGTGCGCGCACATAACAATTTCCTACCCAGCCTAGCATATCAGGGGGCGGTGTTCCGGATCGCTGCAGACGGTTGCCGCCTTCATTTCTTGACGAAGACAAAGAATCCCCAGGCAGAAAGTTGGCAGATCAATTTGGATATGGAGATGCCATCTATGGTGATTGGATGCTTCTTGCCATTCGCCGAACGAGACCGCTTTTTACAGTTCTCGTCAAGAGGATGAGGATGAGATCGCTCCGCCCGGTCTTCGAGTATACCAGAAGCTGAAAGTAGAAGAAGGCTTCCATGAACCTGGTCAGCGTTTCGAGTCTTTCGACCATGTTTGCAAAGTAGTGCGGTGCTTGCCATCATTCGCTGAATGTCTGGTGTGATTCCTCTCAAAGCAGAGTGAGGAGCCACGAAATTCGTCGGAATGCTGACCAGGTTCATGGATGGCCGCCACAAACAGAATCCTTTTCTTTTTCTGAATCGATTCAGAAATTCGGCTGATCAAGCTGGAGACGATGCTTGCACACATCCCTCCGCTCCTGTCCTTCGATTATACCAGAGAAGCTGGAATTTGAAGATGGCCGCGATGAACATGGTTGGCTTTCCGACCAGGTTCAGAAAAGTGCTGAGCGTGCGATCGTTCGCTGAATGTACGGTGGGATTCTTCTTAAAAAAAGCAGCGAAACCACGAAGATGGTCAGACGGCTGGTCACGTTCATTGCAAAGCTTTCTTTCAATCCTTCCAAAGCTGGAGACGGCTAGTCAGACACTTTGATAGTCTAGGTTTCAAGCACAGTTAGGATGGACCTAACCAGTTTTAGGACCAGATTCGTCCCCCTAAGTTCCAGCTATTGATATGCTGCCAAGTCGGGGACAGGTAGTCAGGCTTTCTCATCGAACATAGGGGCCCATTTGATCTTAAAGGTCTGTCCAAAGTTAGTATGCACCAAACCGGTTTCATGAACAGATTCGTCCATTCCGGTCATGGGCGAAGCGCAAGATTAGAGATGGCTAGCCAGGCAAATTCCATAATGTATAGGCCTGTTTGGTGCTACGGACTCGTGTGAAGTTAGCGTGAACCTCTCCGATTCATGACCAGATTCATCTGTATCGATCGTGGACAAGGACAAAATTGAAGACCGAGTTAGCCACACACAGTCGTTGCAGATATAGCTTTGCGCAAACTTCGATGTTAGTATGTGCATCTAACCAGGTTTACGGCCACATTCGTCAATTATAGACATGGATATAGTGCAGATCTGGAGACAGCAAGCCAAGCAAATTCATCATACGTACACGCCACCATTTGGTGCCGTCGGGACAAACGTAACTGGTCTTTTGACCAGGCCAGATTCGTCCGTTCCGGTTATGGACATGAGGCCAGTGCTACTTGCCGTGCCCATACATACTGTGACCATAAAAGATGGGCTTGTTTGGTGCTATAAGTTCGTACAAAGTTTCCCACGAACGTAACTGGTTCTGCGACCAGATGCATCCTTTACGATCACATACACCGTTCCAGTTATGGACATGCCGCCAATGCCGGCCTTGCCCTTACATAGTGTGACCATAACAGACGGGCCTGTTTGGTGTATAGGTTCGTGCCAAGCGTCGCACGAACCTCACTGGTTCAGCGACCAGATGCATACACCATTCCAGTCACGGACATGACGCCAGAGACACCCTCGCACTACCCTGACCGTAACAGATGGGCCTGCTTGGTGCTATACGAAGTTTCGCACAAACCTCAGATGCATCCTGTCTGATCGCATACATAGCACCAGTGGGGCCTTGCATTCATACATCCTTATCGCCAGCAGTAGATCCTATGAGGGGAGAACTCCGCCCTATCCAGCTATGGATGCCCTCCCAGAATGGCAGACATTCGCCAAATGGTCACTTGCAGCGAATGGCAGTCTTTAAATTATTTTCTGCATTCAGATACATGATGGCCTTTCAGAGGCCGGAAAGCCAAGCGGGAGATCGCTAACGACACGTTCCCTGTTTCCTTCCTCGACAACCCAAAAGGCGGACGGATTGATGACCTGCCAGTACTGGGGATTCATCCTCTGTCGGCGTCAGAGCACGTCCAAATTTAACAGGGCGCAGGAAGACCCTGAACCCCACCAGTGCTTGGGACCCTCTTTCCTTTGTCCTCTGCCGCCCTCTGAACATATCTGAATTTAACATCGGGACCCTCCATCAGGACCCTCCTTCCGTCCTCTGCCGGCCTCTGAACACATCCGAATTTAGCAGGGCGCAGGCAGGCCCGCCGGGCCCGCCCTTTACGATGTTCAACCCCACCTGTACTTGGGACCCTCCTTCCTTATCCTCTGCCGCCATATGAACATATCCAAATTTTAACATTGGGGGCCTCCTCGGCCTCTAAACACATCCGAATTTAACAGGGCGCAGGCCGGCCCTTCCTTGACGAAGGGTGAACACACTGTCGAACCCACCAGTACTTCGGACCCTTGCCGCCCTTTGAACATATCCAAATTTAAAATCAGGACCCTCCTTCCTTCGACCTCTGCCGGCCTCCGAACACATCCGAATTGAACAGGACGCAGGCAGGCCCTTCCTTGACGATCCAAGGGTGGACAGATCGCTGAACCCCACCACTACTTTGGACCCTCCTTCCTTCGTCCTTCGCCAGCTTCTGCACATATCCGAATTTGACATCGGGAGCCTCCTTCCTTCGTCCTCTGCCAGCCTCTGAACATATCGGAATTTAACTGGGTGCAGGCAGGCCGTACATCCCTGAAAAGTTGGCCGGTGAACGGGACAGCTTCCTGTTGAATATATACCCTATACCCTATCGCCCCTCGATGATATCCGTGATGTCCTCAAGTGTGACGCTTGGCAGCGGGACAGTTGACGTTTCGTCAGAAGATGACCATTCCATGCCGCGATGCGCAATGAGACGCCCTCTGGGTGTGTCGATTGACGTCTCGCTGTTGATATCCGTGTCCATCATTAGGGGGCTTTCCGGAATAAAAGGTGCCATCTTCTCGAACGCGCGAACCACATTCTTCATCGTCGGCCTCGTCTCGGGATCATCGTCCACACATCGCATTGCAATCTTCATCATCAAAAATATCTGCCCCGGATCAGCATTGTCCTGAATGACTGGGTCACAGGCAAGTATCGCCGTGTCTGCATCTTCAACATTCGATGCGACCTGTGATAACACAACAGACTCCACAAGATTCAGCAATCCTGACTTTCCAATCATTGCCCAAGATTCAGCAATCCTGACCATCCAATCATTGCCCAAGATTCAGCAATCCTGACCATCCAATCATTGCCCAAGATTCAGCA